ACACCAGGCAGGTCCCAGATACTGTTGTGGAGAAGTTTAAAGCTGGATTTGGATACAAAAAGATTTCCCAAGCTTTAAACATCCCAAGGAGCACCGTGCAAGCGATAATATTGAAATGGAAGGAGTATCAGACCACTGCAAATCTACAAAGACCCGGCCTTTCCTCTAAACTTTCAGCTCATACAAGGATAAAACTGATCAGAGATGCTGCCAAGAGGCCCATGATCACTCTGAATGAACTGCAGAAATGTACAGCTGAGGTGGGAGACTCTGTCCACAGGACAACAATCAGTCGTATACTGCACAACTCTGGCCTTTATGGAAGAGTGGCAAGAAGTAAGCCATTGTAAAATTGAAAATTGTGTTTTGAAAAATGTGCATTTTGATTCGAGGTTGTGTTTTTTGTGTCCAGTTTTAAAAAATAACACAGGGGGAACGGTATCTGACGGGGGTAATTTGGCCGTCAGATACCGTTTCCCCCGTTTAAAACTGAGGGAACGGTATCTGACGGGGGTTATTTGGCCATCAGGATGCGTTTCCCCTGTTTAAAACTGAGGGAACGGTATTTGATGGGGGTTATTTGGCCATCAGGATGTGTTTCCCCCGTTTAACACAGGGGGAACGGTATCTGACGGGGGTTATTTGGCCATCAGATACCGTTTCCCCCGTTTAAAACTGAGGGAACGGTATCTGACGGGTGTTATTTGGCCATCAGGATGCGTTTCCCCCGTTTAACAGAGGGGGAACGGTATCTGACGGGGGTTATTTGGCCATCAGATACCGTTTCCCCCGTTTAAAACTGAGGGAACGGTATCTGACGGGGGTTATTTGGCCATCAGGATGCGTTTCCCCCGTTTAACACAGGGGGAACGGTATCTGACGGGGGTAATTTGGCCATAAGGACGCGTTTCCCCTGTTTAAACACTGAGGGAATACATGTATATATACACATGATAGATAAATGTATTTATATATATATATTTGTGAATATATATATATATATATATATATATATATATATAGGCTATATATATATATATATATATATATATATATATATAGGATATATATATATATATATATATATATATATATATATATATATATATATATATATATATAGGCTATATATATATATATATATATATATTACATACATACATACATATATTACATACATACATACATACATATTTATTTATTTGTCATATCATATTATATATATATATATAGGCTATATAAAGTTGTCATACCTGAAAAACCAAAACAGCACAAACGATATTTTTTCTGCACAAACCAGCACTAACGAGTGTGGCTATTTTTCACTGAGTTTTGCGTGGGGTAGGGGCCAACTTCACTCAGGTGCTTTCACTGTGTCTGTAGTTGCCTCACGCCGCGCAAGCACGGCTCGCTGGTTACGAGTGCTGAACAAGCACGCGCACTATTTGCCGCGTGCGAGGCGCGGAGCGGGGCGGAGCGGCGAGTAGACGCAGGGGAAACAGTATCTGACGGGGGTCATTGATAAATTCTCTTGAACCAATGAAATGCATCAGGGTAAACCAGGGATGAAATTTTCTGTGGATCCGCGATTCCAACTTTTTCTTGAAAATGTCATTTCTGTGAGGTTTGACCGCGGGAGGTTTGCTGTACATACTCGAACGGGATTCCAAGTCCTCCGTTTCTGACCTCGGGAGTTACTGGGCCGCTTTGACAACAGCTCAGCGAACGCGCAGCCATAACGGGGTTCATGTACCGATTGCGGACTGAACCATCCCCAGGTTGTTGCATGTTGCGGGTATGTTTTGTCTTCCCCGTCTCTCCCGGTGGGTCCTCCTCCCAAAGGGGGACAACCAAAAACTCACAGAATTAAAGCTCAGGTACCTTCATTTTTGTGTTGCATTGACAATGCATGCACAAAAGTGAATATGTTGTGAACAAATCCACATGAACAAACCACAACAGTTGTGTTTTTTAAAATTTTGCTTATTGAAAACAAATAACATAAAAAGTGTCCTGTGAGTATATATTTGACTTTGATGGGGGCTGAGAGAGGACTTTTTAAATATTTTTTTCCACATAGTTTTTTGACTTATTGTATTGAGAAACATGTGTTGTTTCAATTGTTTTTGTTTATTTTTTATCTGTCCTTTGTAGATAGTTGTTTTTTTGTATTATTCTACTGAAGGTTTATAATATACGCTGCATTCTTCATTTAAGCCTACAAAATGTCAGCTCTCAAATTCTTTTGGAATTATGTTTCTTGTTTCGAGATAATCATTCTGTAGACATTGATTTCAGGGAAAACTTCAGGTTTTGGAGGGTGGTTCAATGTCGGCCGTAGGTTTTACAGGTTTGTTTTACCAGTGTGTCGGGCTTTATGCGTATAATGGTAAAATCCCCTTCATGCTGCCCTTTCTAGGGAATCAAAAACAGGGTGATACAAAATGAAATAGCAAAGTGCCGACAGTTGTTCGTTCTTAGTGCGCTATCCTTCTAGGTCTTGGCAAGAGCGTGGCGGAGGAGGAGGTTGGCATCGCCGTCGTGTTTGGCCATCAAGTGGTAAGTCAAAGTGGATGTGCGTTCGGCGTTACGGTTCACAACAGCATACACAGATAAGTTATAGTCTGTAATTCTAGCAACTTTTTGCCATCTAGGCTTTCCCTTCGGAAGTTGTCATTCGGCATTTCACGCTAGACAAACCAGTCTCTTTTCAAGTAGTGTTTTAACGCTGACTAACAGGAACTACACTGAAGTTGGTCACACATTTCATTAGTGTGATTTTTGTAAAATTACTCGTTACATATTTGATTTGCGTTAACGCCGTTATATATTTACTATTTTATATATTCATATTAGGTTGTCCCCCCGCCCCACAATCCCCTACGCTAGTGTTTGGTTTGTGTTTTGCGTTGTTAGCCTGTTACCTGCTCGGTCGCTGTGAAAGAATGGTTTGTCTTGCAACTGGTTTCAAAAAGTTTGCCAGAAATGAAGTTATGTCGACTGAAACTAAAGTTATCTGAGTGTATTGCTGGGGGTGTGAGCTAGCGTTAGTATATCACCGTAGCCACACATCCATACAAATGGCTGATGCAAACTCTCCTCGCCACGCTCTTGTCAAGACATCATGGATTGCGCAACTGAGAAACAATAGTGTTAGGCACTTTGTGTACTTTATTGTCTATCACCTGTTTTTGATTCCCTTAGGAAAGGGTAGTTGATGGGATTTTTACCATTTATTCGCATATAGGCCCGACACAACCTGGTAAAACCATACCTGTTAAAACCTAGGACGACTTGAGAACCACCCTCCAAAACCTGAAGTTTTTCCTGAAATCAATGTCTACGAATGATTATCTCGAAACATAGTAACATAATTCAAAAGATTTGAGAGCTGACATTTGTGGCTTTAAATAGAATGCAGCGTATTATTATAAAACCTTCAGTAGAATACTACAAATATAAACAACTTCTACAAAGGTACGATAATAAATAACCAAAAACAATGTGAGACAACACATGTTTTCTAATTCAATAAGTCAAAACTATGTGGAAAAAAATTATTTAAATAAGTCCTCTCTCTAGCCCTAAAAGTCAAATAATTACTAACAGGACTTTTTTTTGTTTTTTGTTTTTTCATAGTAAGCAAAATTTTAAAAACACAACTGTTGTGGTTAGTTCTGTGGATTTGTTCACAACATTTCACTTTTGTGCAGGCATTGTCAATGCAAACAAAAATGTAGGTACCTGAGCTTTAATTTGTTAGTTTTGTTGTCCTTTGGGAGGAGAACCGGGAGAGACGGGGAAGACAACAATACCGCACATGCAACAAGCTGGGATGGTTCTGTCGCCAATCTGATACATGACCCCGTTATTGCTGCGCGTTCGTCGAGCTGTTGTCAAGCGGCACAGTTTCTCCCGAGGTCAGAACGGAGGACTTGAATCCCGTTCGAGTATGTACAGAAACATCCCGCGGTCACAAATTTCACATAAATGACCATTTCAAGAAAAGTTGGAATTCGCGGAGCCACAGAAAATTTTCATCCCTGATTAACCTGATGCATTTCATTGAGTCAAGAGAATTTTCATTGAGAGGAATTGGTCAAAACAAGATAAACAGACGTGTCGCTTTCCCTGGCCAGCGAAGGTAGAAATGCAAAAAGCGCTCCCAGTCTTGAAGTAGAAATGGGGAATGCTTTCTGGCTTCAATGGTTAAAGAGTTAAACGGTCTGTGTTCTGACAGCATTGAATTGTATGACATTTTGCATTAAGTGTGAGTGTGATAATCTAACACTTAATAAAAAAACAAAAAACAATTTGGGAGTTTATAAGATGATTAAAATGATGATTCGGACGGACATAACGAATAGTATAAAAAAGTTGCGATTAATCGCGAGTTAACCAAGACCTTCATGCGCATAATCTAATTAAAAAAGTAATTGTTGGTCTGTGATGATTAAGACATACTGATAAAAAGATATAGACGCATATGAAATATTGTTGACATTATTAGAAAAGCTCGTATGAACCCAATCCTCTACTTCATTGCTATATAATTGTTTTTTTTCCCAGTGCTCAAAGATTTAGCCCTGGATCACTAAAGTGTTCTCTGTGTCTGCGCCGAGTCTGAATCTAGCCAGAGCCTGAATCTCATAACTACTGATTTTGGCTTCTTCAGTATTGTGTATGAATACATCTTTTGAGACAAAACTTTTGTCCCTCTGTGTTTCAGTCTGATCATGGGTTTTGTTACTCTGTGTTTCTAAGTCTGATCATGGGTTTGGGTCCTCTGTGTTGCAGTATGATCATGGGTTTTGTTCCTCTGTGTTTCAGTATGATCATGGGTTTGGTTCTCTTTGTTCAGTCTGATTACAGGGTTTGGTTCCTCTGTGTTTCAGTATGATCATGGGTTTTGTTCCTCTGTGTTTCCAGTCTGATCATGGGTTTGGTTCCTCTGTGTTTCAGTTGTTCATGGGTGTGGTTTCCTTGTGTTTCAGTTGATCATGGGTTTGGTTCCTCTGTGTTTCTGTCTGGATATGGGTTTGGTTCCTCTGTGTTTTCAGTCTGATCATGGTTTGGTTCCTCTGTGTTTCAGTCTGAATCATGGGTTTTGTTCCTTGTGTTTCAGTCTGATCATGTTTTGGTTCCTCTGTGTTTCAGTCTGCATCATTGGTTTGTTTCTCTGTGTTTCAGTCTGATAATGGTTTGGTTCCTACTGTGGTTTCAGTCTGATCATGGGTTGGTGTCCTTTGTGTGTCAGTTGAACATGGGTTTGGTTCCTCTGTGTTTCAGTCTGATTGTGGGTTTGTTCTCTGTGTTTCAGGTCTGATCATGGGTTTGGTTCCTCTGTGTTTCAGTCTGATTGTGGTTTGTTCCTCTGTGTTTCTGTCTGATTGTGGGTGTTGTTCCTCTGTAGTTTCAGTCTGATTGTGGGTTTTGTTACTCTGTGTTTCAGTCTGATCATGGGTTTTGTGACCAAAGGCCAAGAGAAGAAAATTCTGAAGAGGAAAGCAGAGAGGGACGTTCCTACTGCGCGTCAGCGGTAAGTCTGATGGGAGGAGTTACCTTTCTCCTGGGAGGACACCACCAATCACCGGTCTGTTCACTCAGGTTCAGTAGCAAGCGTGGTTATTATCTGTGCCATAAAGACTGCTGTCGGTATCACTTGTCTCAGGGACTTGAGAAAGTAAAGATGATAAAAGGAAGAGTATGAGTTACATTACAAAAAGACATAACATTTGAACTACTTCAATATGCTATTACTACTACAATAACTGTACTAATACTACTATTACTGATGATTACTTGCCCACAAAAAAAAATAAAAAAAAAAGCAACACAGGCCGTGACGGTGCAGAAGGTTGATTAGTGAGTGAGGGACCACTAATATTTACTTTTTAAAAGTTAAAGTTAAACATTTCGTCAGTAGATTAAGTGCTAAATACTTAAAGTAAAAGTCGTTACTTAATTAAAGGCAGTGAAATAGTTTTATTCTAGATACTTCTAGAACTTATGACTGCAATAAACCGCTTTTTGTCGCAGGTGATCCAGAGATTAAAAACCGTTCGACCTTTCCCAAAAGCGATCTTGGATCAATTCCTTTTCATGAATAATACGGAACTTCCAGCTGATGGAGCAGGACAACGTTCCGGAGAATCCCCTGCTTTCTCTTTTTCCAAAAACATTCCCAAGACGAGGCCTTCAGGAAGTTACTACAGTGGGACAAGAGCGGAGGTGAAGCCTGATACGGCATAGGTTTGGGCTGTGTTCCACAGCTAAAGTGGGCTAGGGGCTGTGTGTGCGACCCGGCAACTGGCTTCTGCTCTGTTGCTGCACTGGACTCGCCTGGTGGCGAAGAGAAGGAAAAGCATACATGTGTATATATTGTGTTTCTATTTCAGAACAAAGTCCTTACATCGAATACATCAGAAACATAACTCATGTTCGTCACCACAGAGTATGTTCCTCCACATGCAGAGAGGACACCATGTGGATCCTGAGGCTCCTGAGGTGGCTCTGGGGCTCACGGGGCTCCTGAGGTCACAAGGAGGTTCTGAGGAGGCCCCTGAGGATGCTCCAGGCTCAGAGTGTTGTGTAGACAGTGTTTGTTTGTGTGTGTGTGTGTGGTGTGTGTGTGTGTGTTGTTTGTGTAGGAACTCGATCAGGGCTTCTGGCTTTGTGCAGAGTCAGGGGAGTGGCTCCTTGTGGGTCACTTAGTATACAGAAGGAGGTCTAAACATGAGATTGATAAATGTTGTCAACAGTATTTATGTGGTGTGTTCTCATCATGTTAAAGTTTTACAAGGACTTCCAAAGTCTCCAGAAGCCGTCTTTTTGACCTGCTCTCCCTCAATTAATCCTGCAATTCAGGAAAAAATCCCCAAAAGAGTTTGTTTTCCACCAGATTTGTTAAAAGTGATCCACAAACTTTGACCTATATCTCATTTTAATATGTGTTCTGCTAGCAGTCCAGGAACCTGTCCCAGGACCAGCACCTTGTTGGTTGCCAAATGATCAAACGGTTACTTTAGTTTTACTTTAGAATTTACTCTTGTAGTTCTCGCTTTATAATGAAGAATTTACAACGTAAAAAAAATATATTTTCATAAAAAATTTTGACAGAAAAACTACAGCTAAAAACAGGAAAGTCAAAGTTATGAGGAGCAAGAGTCTACAGACGCTGAGTCTTACGCTTAAAATAATCTCTGGGAGTCAGTGTTAAAATAACCATATTTATGGAAGATCATTTAGTAAACATCTTCAGGTCTCATCTGGTACATTTATAGTGTTTGGGTTTGGTCTGAACCTTCAGAATGTTAGAATAAAAAAGTTAAGAGACCCTGAGTTGACGCCTCTGTGGTTTGACCTTCTGCATGTCCTGTCCCTTGTCCTAGTGTCAATCACGAACTTCTTTAACTGATTCTTTCATCTTTGATTTATAGGGTTCTGTCTTACACGAGATCACCTTTCTTTCCTTATCTCAGTGTTGCCCCAGGGGCAGCTGTGGCTACTGTAGTATTTTATGACCTTTGTGTTTGGAGTGACGCTTTTTGAGAGAGTGGCTATGTAATCACCCCTGCATTATTATTATTATTATTTGTTGTTGTATTATTAAGGATCTCGGTGGGAGTTTTCAGAGTTATTATATTAAAGAAAGTCAGGTACCCCAGTTTCCATCATCCAATATCCATGTCGGATCCTATTGCATGACACTTCTTTACTTTCTTGATGTAAAGAGATTTTGTCATTTTCAATAGTTCCTACCCATAGGTGTTAATTCCTGGATGTTTATATACTTCTAACAACAACAATAGATTATAGAACATCAGGGACGTGCGGTGAGGTTTGTGATTTGGGGAGCCTGACTTTAAAATCAGATTACAATCATTATTCAAATTAAAATAGCATTTAATCACAATGCATGACATCCACAAACTTTATTTACTGTAAGATAAGAGAACCAGTTCTTTTAATAATCTCACAACAAATCTAGCTGCTGACTCTGCTCCGCATCAAAACAACATCTTTAAGAAGCGCGGTGCGAGAGACGCGAGGGAGAGAGAGAGCGAGGAGAGAGACAGAGAGAGACAGAGAGTGCAGGAGTGAAGGAGAGCGAGGAGCGAGAGGAGACGGAGCGCGAGGAGAGAGAGACGCGAGGAGAGAGGTGCCAGAGAGAGTCAGAGGGGAGCACGTGAGCGGAGACGCGAGGAGCAGGAGAGGAGACGGAGACGCGAGGAGTGAGTGCGCGAGGAGATAGGAGCAGAGAGAGACAGAGACGGAGCAGGAGAGAGGAGACGCGAGGAGAAGAGAGAGGACGGAGACGGTGGAGTGAGAGACGCGAGGAACAGTAAACAATAATTTTAAACAAGTGCAGAATCTTGAGCCAGTGTTTGAATCAGTGTTTTTCTGGAAAAGCACTACTTTTGCTGGTATCTGTCCATGTTCACATAAAACATCAGATAACAAATCTCCCCCGCAGCGGACTAACCTCGTAAGTCCTGTGGTGGTCTCCGTCTTATTAATTCTTTCTTTGTTTGAAAGTCCAATTGAGAAAAAAAAATTCTTCATTCAAATCATCCATTTCTCCAGCAAAAGATATTAGATTTTTGGGCTGATTGTTTGTTAGCAACTCTTGTATGACTTTATGCTCATATCACCCTAGCGGTGAGGGCACAGATACCGCAGCTCACGCCAAGCTTTTTCTTGTGTGTTCATTACGATCAAAAGACATAAACTAATATAAATTGTACACACATACGTGAAATACACTACTAAAACACTATGAGGAGTTTAAAAATGTTTTTAAAGCAGGATTTTTGAAACAAACGGTGATATATCACTGCACGAGCTGAGTGCACTCAGTCACACACACACACACTGTGAGGGAGCGGTCTGGGGTGAGGCACGCAGGAGCGCTGCCTCACCTCGTCTCTTTGAATAGGCTTACGTGATTTCGGGATTTGGACTTCTGGAAATGATCAAAATGATGGGAACCGTGCCGAATATACATTTTAAAGCATAGGACAGTGGATATAAATTATATATTTAAACTAAAATAATTATTAGTTTCAATAATGGCAGTGAGGCTCTGGCTCCCTGCCTCCCTGACTGCACGTCCTGAGAAACAGTACTTATCTTGAGGTCTTAACTAAGATGTTCAATTCACCAAACAAATTGGCGAATCTAACAGTTCAAATCACTGGAAATTAAATTATACAAACACAAGGAGACATTGGTCCTGCTGTAGAAGAGGGGGGGGGGGGGGGGGGGGGGGGGGGGGGGGGAACCAATGCCCTTAGAGCCTTCTGCATTAGACGAGCTACTTTAAGTCTGGTGGAAAAGTGAGAAAACCTCTGGGAGCCACATTGAGGACGGATTGCTCCGAACGGACGAAAGGGTCTGTAGATCCAGGATTGAGGCTAGAGATTATAGATTCTAAATTGGATTTGATTGATACTGTACTATTGAGATCGGACACAGTTCCTCTTCTACACGTTTCTTGTACTGGTCTCTGATTGATGGATACCTAGTTTGGGTGAAGTTTTGGTTTTCTTGAATGTGATCTTGATACTGAACTAACAATAATATTCTGTGTGCTTCACACTGCTGGTTCTGCTTCTGGTCTCTCTCATTCTTCTTGCTCTCTCTCGGTCATTTGGTCTCTCTCTGGTCTCATTTCATGGTTGTGTGTATTAACTGCACGTTACATCTGTCTCTTTCAGAACAAACACATTGATTCGTTGACTCACGTTGGAGAAGTTCCTCTCGGACCTCTGCTGTCGCCCCCTGATGGGGCAGGTGTGACTGTTCTGAGGTCCTTCTGTTGCCCCTGGTGGTGCAGTGTAGACTGGCTGTGGTCGTTCTGCCGCCTTCTGGTGGTGCAGATGCAGCCTGTGCTGAGGTTCTTCTGTCGCCTCTCTGGGTGGTGCAGGTGCAGACTGTGCGGTGGTCCTCAGTCCTCGGTCTTGACTCGGTTTCTGGTGAAACTATGACCTGGTGTCGTCGATTCTACCTCCTGAGCTCTCACACTTCTGCAGTGCCTCCAGTAGTATATACAGAGCTCCTTATGGATTTTTATTAATTTGTTCAATTTTGTATGTCTATTTATTTAATGTCCCAGTTAAAAGAAGCTATACCAGATTTAATTTTCTAATGAGTTATTAAAATCGTATTACTACATACAAGTTGATTAAAATCTGTAATTTAATTGAAATCGTGAGCTCACTGATTCATCTTGTGTATGAATTCAGGCGCTTATAAAGAAAAAAAAAAAATAAAAAATGCTGGAGTAGAGACTTAGCGTGACGCCGCTCTCCTCCACTCACAGACGGTGACGTGCAGCGATGTTACAAGAGCTGCGCTCTCTTGCCTCTTCAGCGCTGCTAAACACAGT